GGGGCGGCGGAGCCCTCCGGCTCCTGGGGAGCGAGCCGGGAGGCGCCGTTCGGAGGCTGGGCGGGCGCGGCTCGAAGATCCGAAGAACCGTGTTCGGGTAGAGCCCGAGCTGCTCTGTGGCAGATGCGGGAGTCTGGCGACTCCCACGCTTCCCACGTCGCCCGGTGGAAACGGGGCTGGTGCGGAGGGGACCCTGCCGCCCCCTGGGTGTGAGTGTGGATTTTGTCCTGCGGGGACGAGAGGCCGCTGGTGAATTCCTGCAGAGAAACGGCAGGGCTGGCGCCCCCCGCCCCTTCCCCCGGCAACCGTCGCCCCTCCGCAAGCCGCGGCCTCTCAGGGCCCTGCGCTCGCGCATGCCGCCCCCGCGCCCTCAGGGCCCAGAGAGCCGCCCCATCCGAGGGTTTGTTGGCCGTCAGCCGGTCACCTGTGGCGCCACCCGCTCACCCGTCCCTCTTCTTCTCGACATTCAGGTTACGGTGTCTATGTGTACCCGAATTCTTTCTTTCGATATGAAGGAGAATGGAAAGGAGGGAAGAAACACGGTGAGAAATCGTGGCCTGTTCCCACGGCTGCCACCTCGCACCGACAGCCACGTCCTCGGGGAGCCTGGGCCGGCAGGTGGCACTGGGAGCCACCAGCCCAGGGTCCCCACACTCCCTCTCACTAGTGCCCAGGAAAGGCCATTCCCTGCAGCGATCTTCAAAGTTCACCAGACAAGACATGCCGGGGGCCCTGGGAGACCCCTCAGCTAGCAGCCTTCTCTCAGGCGCTGGGGCATCCTGGGCAGGGGAAGCCCCAACTTAGAAATCCTCCCTGGCGTGTTAGTCTGTCTTTGCCAAAGTGAAAATTGCCTTTATGGTTTATTTTTGATGAGTAAGAGATTACCCACCTTTGTATTTATCCAAAGGATACAAACGTAATGATCCGCGGGGGCATCTGCACCCCAGTCCTTACAGCAGCAATGTCCACAATGGCCAAACTATGGAAAGAGCCCAGATGTCCATCCACAGATGAACGGACAGAGAAGACGTGGTCTATACACAATGGAATACTACTCAGCCATCAAAAAAATGAAATCTTGCCATCTGCAACCACGTGGATGGAACTAGAGGGTATCATGCTGAGCGAAATAAGTCAGTCTGAGAAAAACAAATACCGTATGATTTCACTCATACGTGGAATTTAAGAAACAAAACAGATGAACATAGGGGAAGGGAGGGAAAAATAACAGAAAAACAGGGAGGCAAACCGTAAGAGATGCTGAACTCTAGGAAACAAACTGAGGGTTGCTGGAGGGGAGATGGGTGGGGGCATGGGGTAACTGGGTGATGGGCATTGAGGAGGGCACGTGATGTGATGAGCACTGGCTGTTATATGCAACTAATGAATCATTAAATCCTACCCTGATAACTAATAATACAGTGTATGTTATCTAAATTGAACTTAAACAACTTCTTAAAAGAGAGAGATTACGTACTTTTGTAGAAAGTCTCAGCCTTAAAAGAAAGAAAGTACCGAGGGTGAGTCGCTGGAGTCCTCCCCAGGGGTGGGCCCAGACTTGCCCATGTTTACGCTCACACAGTCTTATGTCTGTTTGGGGGTTCTGCCTGCTCACATCCTCTGCCTATTTTTCTCCTAGAGAATTGGTCTTTCAGCATTTTCTTATATGAGCTCTTTTTGTGGCTGCTGGCTGCCAGTATTTTTCTGTGTTTTTAAGCTTTTGACTTGTGTTGTTGCCACACAGACATTTTTCGCTTTTGTCTGAAATCTCTGCTTCTCTTCCTCTGGGCCTGGCATGGAGGCTTACGTCTGGGAACCCTGCCAGAGCCTGGCCTGGACAGAGTGGTCCTCCCTTTTTAAATGTTTTCTTGAGTGCTGCCCTGTGTCCACAGACTCCGTTTCTTCCGGCCCCGGTGCTGATGGAGGCCAGGTGACTGGAGTGTCTCCTCCGAAGAGGTTGGGGTAGCTCTGCTGTCATCCCAGCCCAGACAGCAGGCCTTAGTCATGTTTCAAGAACGTTTTTATCGAGAAACGTGTGTGGGTGAGTTTGCAGAGAGCAGGCTTAGGACAAGAAGCAGAGCCGAACACAGGCCTGAGAGCTTCAAAGCCCAGCTCTTCCCGCGGAGAAACGAGTCCAGCCACGCATGGGCAGCAGGGGTTTCTCCGACTTTGGTCTGACTTCACATCGTGATTTCTTTCCCCAGGCCAGGGGAAGCTGCTGTTTAAAGATGGGAGTTATTACGAAGGCGAGTTTGTGGACGGGGAGATCACGGGAAAAGGCTGCCGGCTCTGGGCCTCATCAGGTTAGCAGTGGAGACAGGTGCGGGTGTGCTGACTCCTTTCTCGTAAACTATCTCTGGTGTAAGTTGTTCCTGGCTTCCGGATGCAGAAGGCACCTCCTTCTGTGAAGTGTGGGTCTCTGGTTTCCATCACATTCCCCCGCATTAGCAGCATGCCGGCCGAGGGCGGGGGCAACCACTCACAGACCTTCCCAGGCAAGCGTGGTGGCTGTTCTCCGCTGAGAGAAGCCCCACCCCCACAGATTCTGACCCAGAGAGGCCTTTGCCCTTGGGCACCTGGATGCTGCAGAGAGGGTCGTCATAGGACGGGGATCTGCATCCACCTGCTATGAGCGGGGGCTGTACAGTAACCAGGAGGGCAGGACCAAACCCACCTAATCCTATTTTCTCATTAGCCAAGGTGAACGGGAGATAAAGAGACCCCCTCACGTGTTCTGAAATGATACTTGCTGCCACCATTGATCAGGGGTGGGAGGGGTGTGACTGTCAACCCACAGGGGACTCAGGAACAGCTCTAACCCTGGGTGTGCCCCTCTCCTCATCTGCACCAGGGAACACCTATTCTGGACAGTTTGTTTTGGGAGAGCCTCAAGGACACGGCGTCATGAAGTACAAAGCTGGCGGACGTTATGAAGGGGAGTTCTCCCACGGCCTGAGAGAAGGTCTGATACCCACAGGAGCTTGCTGAGTGTGGCAGGGCGCTTTGTGGGGAGCCCTGGGCCCCAGCACCCCTCCCCAAGATCTAACTCAGGGGCCCTGACGTCCACCCGGCCATACTGGAGGTGCTCTTCTCTCTGCCCCCAGCACCACGTCTGCTGCAGCTCCGTGTGGGGGCCATGGCCCAGGGACCCTGCTTGATGGGGCTGAGACCGTAGGTCCTGCATCAGTTCACTGCTGTGGTTAAAATCTAGCAGCTCAAAAAACTGCCATTTAATTATTCACCCACAAACCTGGGGGTCAGCAGTCTGTCCCCGGCTTGGCTGGGCAACGCTTTTGGCCTCACATGGGGTCACCCCTACAATGGTGATCGCAGCAGCTCAGGCAGGGCTGGTGGTTCCTGGGCCCTGGCCCAGAGCCTCAGGGTTCCTGGGGGGGCAAGAAGCTGGGGGTTCTTTGAGGACATGCTGCTGAACAAAGCGAGTCAGGAGGCCACACTTGTGGGGAAGCGGACTCTGCCCGGGGGGGGGGGTGTGCAACCCTGGCGCCCGAAGACAGAAGTGCTCACTGTTCTGGAAGACCAGCCTCCAGAAGCAAGCCATGCATCCACAAGGTCCGACAGTGCCTTTCCAGGGTCCGCTCACATCGGAAGATGCGCGTGCACTTCCAAGCTGTCCCAAACCATGCAATGAAGCCCTGTCCTCATGAGTGTGTCCTCTGGCCTTTGTTTTCTTTCTTTTTTTTTTTTAGGATTTATTTATTTTGGAGAGGGCATGCCAGCAGGGGAGGACTGGAGGGAGAGGGAAAGGGAAAGAATCTCAAACAGACTCCCCGCCCAGCACAGAGCCTGACGCAGGGCTCAATCTCATGATGTTTAGATCGTGAGCTGAGCTGAAACCAAGAGTCGGACCTTCCACCGACTGAGCCCCCCAGGCGCCCCTGTGCTCTGGCCTTTAGACCCAGGGCCTTTGAATCGGCCATAGGAGGCCCAGCACTGCCGTTGTCTGTGAGGTGCGGTTTCCCATGGACTGACACGATGGCAGAGCTGTGGGGTGGCCCCAGCCAACAGCAAGGCACTCCAGCCTCAAATGCTGGGGCCTGGGGGACCTTAAGGGGCACCCCTCCTGCTCTCACTCAGCACCTTTGAGAGCTGGACCCCAGAACCGCTGTCATTGGCGTGGTGGTCACTGGTGCCGCCCCAAATCACAGCTGCCATGTCTTACCCCGGCACCCCTGGCCTGGGAGGGCGGCCCGGTTCCTGGAGCCATTCTGACCCCAGCTTTCTTCTGAATCTACCGCCGCCCTCTGGGGGGGGTGGAAGCAAGGTTCCCCCGACAGGAGGCAGGAAGTGACGCTTACTGCCCTGGGCTCCCTCCCTAGGACATGGGCACCTGGTGGACCAGGACGGACAGGCCTACTGGGGGTCGTTCCATGAGAACAAGAGGCACGGCCGGGGGCACATGGTCTTCCGGTGAGTGCGCCACCCCCCAGTCCCCCAGGCCACCCTGGCCTCTGGCACATCAGCAACACTTGGGATTCGGTGCTTTAGTTACCGACACTGCTTAGCAGCATGTTTAGTAGAGAGAACTTTGACTCCCCCTGGCGAACACCTCCCAGAGGCTTGGGCGGCAGGGGGGTGGCGGGCAGGCGCTTTCTCGGCGCCACAGGACGTGGTGAGCCTGCCTTTCCATCCGTGGCTCGTGCACAACGCCGCCATGGCCACGTGTAGGTTCACACTGACTTTTCTCCAAGTCTTACCCAGCTGGGGACCGGGCGAGCGGGGGCCGCGGGCCGCTGCCATCACCCCCCGCCAAGCGCCAGGCCCCCTGCCCCCCGCAGCAGGCCCTGGCAAGGCAGGAGCTCGCGCCATCTGCTCGGGGCCTATTTTTGCCTCAGTCCCGGTGGCGCGTGCTGAGCCCCGGTCAGAGGAGCGGGTCTGAGTCAGCACCACCACCTGGCTCTCCCCGGTCTGAGAGCTGCCCCGTGTTTGTGTCCCCAGGAACGGTGACAAGTACGAAGGCGACTGGGTCCGGGACCAGCGTCAGGGGCACGGAGTGCTGTGCCGAGCCGACAGCTCCACCTACGAGGTACCTGGAGATGTGGCGGGACCCAGGCTCTGGGGGCCCCGCTGGGCGCCTCAGTGCTGCCCCTCCCCCCCGAGGGGCAGGGAGGGCGGCCGCCCCTCTCGGCTGATGAGGAAGCAAGGGAAGGGGAAGGGCCCCGGCTAACACCTTTCCTGTTTGGCTCCTGAGATGCCACGTGCAGGGTCACCTGTGCGAACGGGTGACATTTCTCAGTCCTTGAGGATGCCCTCAGGGCCGGTGAATGTTTTTGATGAGAAACGCCCACCCTGATAACATGGGAGAGGACGCTCCCCCCTCCTTGTTGCTGCGGGCCGTACCCCTCGGGTCTGACCGGGGTTGGGGGCGGTCAGGTGCTACAAAGCATGAGGGAGACCAGGCAGATCCGAGGACCTCATTGGGACCCCAGAATCCATCATCCATCTTTCTTACTGGACACTGGCCACCTGCCCAGCCGGGAGCAATCGCAGCAGGAGCCAGAGATGTGCGTCTCAGGAAGGGCAAGCCACAGCCGGCGGCTGGAGTGACAAGTAGCCCCGTCGGCCCTGCAGGCAGCTGGGGGGCCAAGAGCCTGGCCGCCTGTCCTGGGTCGTTCTGTGAGCTGAGGCCTAAATGATGACGAGCCGCCGCGGCCACCGAAGAGCAAGGGCAGGGCGCTACCGGCAGCAGGAGGAGCAAGGGCACAGCCGGGCGGGAGGTCCGGGAGGGGCCGCGGAGACCCTGAGCCTCAGCGGGCCGGAGTGTGATTGTAAGGGTCGCCGGAAGCACTGGAAGGAAGCGGTGGTCTGATCTCTGTGTTTGAAAAGTCCCTCCGGTTCTTGTCCAGGGGGCACTCTGCCATCAGGAGAGGGGAGGGCGCGGAGAACAGCCTTGGGGTGGTTTGGAGGTGAAGACACCAGCCTTGCTGGCAGGTTGGATGTCGAGGCGAAGGCAAGAGGAGAAGCAAGGATGACTCCTGGGTTTGGGACCGAGCATCGGAGGGCGGCGGTGCCCGAAGCAGGATCCCGTCGGGAGACAGGAACCGGGCCAGCACGTTACCGTGGAAATAGGTAGCTGGCTAGCCGGTGCAGGGCCGTGAAGTGCTGGAAGGGGTAAAAGCAGAAACAGCAACAGCAGACGCACTGGTGGCCCCGCAGACGCCCCAAAGATGGACCTGGGGCCCCCCCTGCGCAGCCGGGCTCCTTGGGAAGGAAGACGCGTGGTGTGCGGTGACTTCGCCACAGTGACTACGATGCGCCCACTGAATCTGGAGCCGCGGGAGCCCAGGCCCAGCTGCACGCGGCCGTTCACGCAGGGCCTGCTGCCGACGAGCCACATGTCCGGCGGCCAGGAGAGACGGCGAGAGGTCCAGCTCCGGCAGCCCAGAGCCGGCCAGGAAGAGTGGCTTTGGGGCTGAGAGGTGATAACTGATGGCGGGCGGGGCGCCGGAGGGGGGCGGCTGGCATCCTGGCCTGGCCCATGCAGCCCCCCACAGCAGCCTAGCCTGCTCATCAGACAAGCTCGGCCTGGGTGAGAGCGCACTCCGGCCTCAGGACAGGCGGCAGGGGCCAGTGTGCCCTGTGCGTGTCCATGTTGCTGCTGGCCTGCTGCTTCTGCACGAGGGGCCGTCTGTCCTTATGGACCCGCCCGAAGGGCCCAGCACAGGCACCGCAGACAGCCTGGCCTCGGTTCTCCAGAGCTGCAGTGGGAGAGAGACACGGAGGGCAGGTGTCCCCCTGCCCCCGCCCGTCCGCGCCACGCCCGGAGTCGTCCCCACAAACGTGCACAAGCACACCTCGAGGGCTGGGGTGGACGCGGACAGGTTCCCAGCGCGCGGCAGCAGAATCGTTCGCGCCCCAAGCACCGGCCTCTGGCCTCGGCCCTTCTCCCCGCTTCGTGGGTGAGGCCACAGGCCCAGAGGAGGGGCAGGGAGTTCCGGCCTGGAGCCCAAGTGAGATTCAGGGGCAGATGGCATGGCCTCCAACCCAGGTGGGTCCCCCCACGGCTGGACAGGGCTGGCGGAGGGAGCATCCGCTTCTTTGGGGCCCCCGGCACTGCCCTGTTCCTGGAGGCTTTTCTGGCCCTCGGCCCCTCGGCCGCCTGCCGGGCCTCAGTGCTGTGGCTGCCCCCTGGGCCCCCCCGCTCAGGCCTCCCCTGGGAGGGGACGGGACTAGGGCAGTGGCCCTCCACACCCCAGGCTGACCCGGGCGCCCATCGCCTGCGCAGCGCTCCACCAGGGGGCAGCCCAGCCCCGCCAGCAGTTCGGCCGGCCAGGCCTTACAGGGGCTTCTCCCGCTTGGGAGACGTTTTCCTCCAACTTGACCGCCGGAGCCTGATTTCAGACCAAACCACCCCGACTGCAGCTCCCGATGGCTAGGCTGCTTCCTCACCAAGTGAGGAGGCCTTCTCCTGGACGGTCACCCCTCAGTGTCACGGGCCGCGCCGTCCCAGCCTGCAGATCTCAGGACCCCCACACGTCCTCAAGGGAGGTGGCGTGTCCTCAACGTGGGGCACCTCCCACATGAGTGAACAGGGAAGCCTGGTCCTCCAGCTGCGTCTTCCCCAGGATGCAGACTCATGTCCGCCTGCATTTCCGTTTGCTTGGCACCTCCCAACCTTCCTCAGCCTCATGCCCAAGGACCTCAGACAACCGGCCTGCTCCCTGCAGCTCTGAGCACTGCTGGGACCCCGTCCTCGGTCGTGCTCGTGGTGTCTGTGTGGGCAGCCCCCAGCCGCACGTGCTGGAAGGGACGCGAGCAGCCACCTCACCCACAGCCCGGGTGCCGACGGGACGGCCGAGGGGCACCCAGGTCCCGGAGGGAGGGCGGGCGCAGGGGTCCCTCACGGCTTCCCCTGCCCTCCGGCCACTTTTTAAACCGGCTTCCAGGTGGCCGTGCAGACGGGGCGTGTGGAGAAGGGCTGCGCCCAGGAGGGCAGTGGGGTCCGGCTGCAGCCACACGGTGGCCTCGGACACGGCCCACGCGCTCGCCGCCGCCAGCACGCCTTCCGGGGCCGCCAGGGAGACTTGGCTCGCGCTCTGTCGCCAGGCCTGGCTGGTGGGGAAGGCTCAGGCCTCTCCGTGTTGCAGGGACACCTCACGCCTGACCTCCGACCTCCGGTTCTCAAGAGTCACCCGGGGGACGGGACGCGGTGGGACGGAGCTGGGCGCTACCCCAAGGCGCGTCTCCCGTGAGGGCGCGGCCGTTCCCTGGGCTCTCACTGGGCAAACAGTCGGACTTCTTTTAAAACACGTCCCTATATATCGTAAAATACGCCTAACGTAAAATTCGTGGTTGTAACAGCTAAGTGTACGGCTCAGGGGCGGGAAGCACATTCACGCTGTGGGGCTCCCGTCCCCGCCGTCCGTCTCCGGAACCGTCCGTCTTCCCACACTGACGCTCTGCCCCCAGGAAACACTAGCCCTCCCGCCCCTGGTGCCCACCCTGCCACTTTCTGTCCCCACGGATCTAACTCCCGCAGGTACCGTGTGTACGGGGAGTCCTACAGGACCTGTCCTGTGGGGACTGGCTTATTTCACTGAGCACGAAGTCCTCGAGCTCCGTCCATGCTCCTTCCTTTCTAAGGCTGGATAATAGTCCATCGCGTGGAGGGACCCCGTTCTGCGCGTCCGTCCATCCACCGATGGACCCCTGGGCTGCTTCCACCGCTTGGCTCTGTGAGCGATGCTGCCGTGGACGTCGGGGAGCACACAGCTCTCTCAGCCCCTGCGTCCAGGTCCTCGGGGCGTACACCCAGAAGAGGAGCTTCTGGACCCCGTGGTGGCTCCCACTTACTTCTGCGGAACCCCACACGGCTCCCACAGCGGCTGCCGCGTGTCACTTTCCCAGCAGCCACGCATGGGTTCCAATCCGTCCACACCCTCGCCTGTACTTGTCCTTTCCTCCTCCTGAAGACGGCCATCCCCACGTGTTCTGGCGCCGTCCACAACCCAGCGCCGGCCGCTGCCGCCGTCAGGGGGATGTGGCATCCCTCCATCCTTGGCTGGGCTCCTCTGCCCGGCCTCACCCTCCTTCCCAGTGTGTCCCTTGGCTGGACCGCCGGCGTTGACGGCTGCTGTCACCCCGGGAGCACAGGCTCCATCCCCCACGGCCGGCACGGGTGGACTGTCCCGTTCCAGCAGGTGTGGCAGGATTCCTCCACCTCCTGCTTTCTAACCCAGGAAGTGTCGGCCCCCACGCGAGGCCCCAGGCACCCTCGCACCCCCACCCTCTTCAACCCCAAGCTGCCCAGAAAGCTGCCCTGGCCCCCCTCACCACAGACCTACCAGCTTGTGGTTTTTATTTATTTTTAAGGTAATTTTATTTCCTCAAAGATTAGACGATAGTGGCCGAGCTCTCCCTTGACCATGTCCCGTATCAGCCGAGTCTGACAGAGAACCTGCCAGACCCGGAGAAGGAGAAGTTCCAGGAGGGGTACATAACTGCAGAGCTGTGCTCAGGGCCGCGTGGAGCAGGGGGCGGGGACTCCCCCACACGGCCAGCTCTCCCACCCAGCGCAGGCATGCCTTTGCCTCATGATCCCCGCTGCCTTGTCACCGGTATTCCCCAATGCAGACCCTTGTAATGAGCCCCAGGAAAAATCCACTCCTGAAAATAATGTTCTAGCATCTTCTGTCAGGACGTAAAACAACGTATCCCAAAGCCAGAACTGCTTCTCCCTCTGTCGTGAGAGGAGCCACGTGGTCAGGATTGGGGCCGGTGGTTGTAACTGGCAAATCTTGGCAAGGGCATCTCCTGCCCTGGCTACCCCGTGATGGTTCTGTGCGGGTCACCCCCGGGCTCCCGGCTTGCACCCGCAGGACCTTCTGTGCTGCCTCCACCTCTGCGGGACATGGAGGTGGGCGTGCCCAGCAGCGGCAGGCTCACTGGCTCCTCCCGGGAACGTGGCCGCAGCATGGTGACCCCCACGGGCACAGGGCAGCCCCTCTGAGAGCGGCAGCGTTCCGGAATCCCTGAGGGAGCCCCGGAGCTGATACTGCGCTGTGGAGGCGAGCCACATCCCCCACGGATGGAAGCAGACCCGAGCTGTTGGCGAACCCCGGTGTGTGTTTGCACGGCACAGCGTTCCCTACCTGTGTGGTCCCCCCAGCAGCTGCTGGCTTCCGGGCCGTCCCTGGGCGCCGCTCTGTGCATGTTGGCTGTGCTTCTCGTGTTGGCTTTCCCAGAGGGAGGCCTGCTGGTTGGTACACCTGCTTGCCGCTCAGAGCAGGTGGCCGGCCTTATGTGCATCTTCACCTGCTGGCGGCTCCCAGCCTCCACCGTCCTCACCTGTGTGTCTTCAGGAATGGCCAATGGCCTTTATGTCCCCATTGCCACCCTGCACAGCCCAGGAATGTGGGGCCATGACCGCAGGGGTGCACCGCACACAGGACAGTCGGAGCGTCTGGGTCTGTTCGAGCACGCACGGGAGGAGGGGTCCGGACTGCCAGAGCCATCGCGGATCCAGTGCCAGGCTCCGTGTTCTCTGCACGGTCCACATGTCATCAGACATCAGAAACAGACATGGAAAAGTATGGAGAGCCACAGTGCACACTTTGAAATCCAAGGAACTTACGACCAAGGTCGTGGAGGTCAAACACGACACCCTATGACCCTGCTGTTGTTGGGGAGATGGATGAGCGGGGCGCACACCCATGCCCCCGACACACCGGCCTGTGTGCCCACTGCCACCCCGGCAGGCTGTCCCACAGGCTGGAGATCCAGGCCCCCTGGGCAGTTGCAGGGCCCAGGCAGGTGGCCCAGGGCCATATCCACATATGTGACCTGACCCCAGACCACCCGTCGCTGGTCTACAAGCTTGTGACCTCAAAGAAAGTGGTCACCTGCTCCAGCTCCAAGGTTGGCGATGATGGGGGAGGCCATTCGAGTACCGCCCGAGGCAGGCACTGGGGAGTCAGTCCCCTGGGCCCTCCTGGTGTGGCCAGCCAAACCCTGGCACCCAGGGAGGGCTGGAGGCAGGACGTGACCGATGTGCCAGGCTGGACATTCAGTGTGCGCCAGGGAGCACTGGGGGGCATGGGGGGGCGCACAGTTGGAGAAGCACAGTAGCCCTTCCCTCAGAAAGAAAAACAGAATCAACAGAACGTGCTCCCTAAAATGAGAAGAGAGTCAAATACTTCTCACAGTTTATCCCCACCATGTGGGGCACCCAAGGAGTCTCTCATCCCAGCGGCCCAACTGTCCTGGGAGCTGTGGATGCTCAGAGGTGGGCCCAGCCGTGGAGGCTGTCTGCAGCATCCCCCTCGGCCCTGGGGGCGCCCCAGCAACTGCAGGGTGACAGGCGTTCCTCACTGCAGTCCCCTGGGCCCGCTTCCTAACACTGAAGCCCGTCCCGCCAGCCTTTGTGGTGTGGACACGGGCCCCTGCCCCCTCTTCCCGCATCGCACCTACCGTGCATGAGCCCTCACATGGGCAGGGAGGGCCAGGGAGAGTGGAGGGAGCCCCTGCCCCGGGGGAATACACCCCCACCCCCCCCTCGTGGGGAACCCCACCGCCGCCTCTGTGAGATGCTTTTGTAAGTATTGGTTCATGCTTTGGGTGCAAGTCAGCTGAGAAAGGGCAGAATTTTCAAGGGTATGATTTATAACATTAATTAGAAAAGATTCCACGCTGCTGGGTGAGTTACATTGCACACTGGGGCGCATTTGTCCTGGGGAAGTCCTGCATTAACGCTGTGAATACCCAGCTCCCCCAGAGGTTCCAGCAGCGAGTTCAGGTCGCCCGTTGTGAATGACCAGGGAAGACACAATGGGTGGTGAGTGCAGTGTGCGCGCCCGGAGTGGGTGCAGGGGTGCCACGGTCCCACAGGCCATCCTCGACAGCTCTGGGCGTGGGATGACCCGCCAGTCAGCTCCTTCTCCAGCCGACCCAAGGCTGTGCCTTCCTCCTGAGAGCAGCACCAGCACTTCGCAGAGGCCTGGGCCGACGGAGGGAGAGCGGAGACGAGAGGTGGCCGTTCTCACGGCAGCAATGGCTACGACGCGGGAAATGCGCCCAGCAGCCATCTCAAGGTTTGGACAGCCTATCGGCCTGAGCTGAGCCCCCACGCGGTCCTGAGGGAGCCAGGGAGTGTCTATGACTAGCATCCGTCCGTCCATCCATCCGTGGGAGCTGTAACTCTGGGCTTCAGGGGTCTCAGACACCCCCGAGGATGGGGAAGGGATGGCCGCTAGGAAGTGCTACAGGGTTTCGCTCCACCTGACGGGAGCATCTGGAGCCACATCTTGGAGAGACGAGCAAGGGAGTGTGGGGAGCCACGGTGCAGGCATGGGGCTGCGTCCGTGCCCCGTGCAGACTGAACTCGGAGCCAATTTCCAGCATCTTGAATCCCAGCCTCCCACCTGGGAGAGCACATGAGCACGTGGCCAGACTCCACGGGCCCCACAGCCATCCCTGCAGGATGGGGAGAACCCAGCACACCTGCACACCCAGGAATGAAGACTGGAATGTGAGGGCAGGTGGCAGACTTGCCCAGGGCACGTGGTGGGCGCAGAGACCGCTGCTCTTGCCACTGGGAGGGCGGAGGGCGGCTGGAGCAAGGGAGAGGCCCCACATGAAGGCTTTGTTCTCTGCAAGGCACAGCCCTTCCCTGTGGCCAAGGCCCCCTGTACCACATCCCGCTGTACCACCTCTTGATGCCAGGCCTGGGGACTGAGCCCAGTGGTTTCTAAGTAGAGGGCGGGGTGGGTGTTGGGGACAGTGGGTTTGGTTCGGCTCCTATGGGGTTTGCGTTTGTTTGGCTGTGAGTCTTGTCGCCCGAGCTGAAACTGGTAACTTCTTGGGTCTGAAGATGGTGTCGTGAAGGGAAGGGTTTCCTGGCAAGCAAACCATTTCAGCGACTTCTTTACTTCCAAGCCTCGTCCGCCGCCTCCCAGCAAGCAGAGTAACGGGGGTGGGGGGGCTGGGGCTTAACATGCCCGCGTGGCTCTGGGGCAACCCTCCCAGGGCTGTCCCCACCCTGACCCACGGACAGCAGCCCAGCCCAGGACTCCCCTGCTCTGCTGTCTCCTGCCCAGTTCACTCTGCCCATTCCGGGGAAAGAGCACCGCTGTCCCGCTGCACACACGCGGGCGCACGTACATGCGTGGGCGCGCAGGCGCATGCGTCACCCCCAAGCGCGGACACGGACGCGCGCGCGCACATGGATACACGCGCTCACACGTACATGCGTGGGCGCGCAGGCGCATGCGTCACCCCCAAGCATGGACACGGACGCGCGCGCGCACATGGATACACACATGCGCGCACACGTACATGCGTGGGCGCACAGGCGCATGCATCACGCCCAAGCACGGACATGGGCGCGTGCGCGCACGTACATGCGTGGGCGCACAGGCGCACGCGTCACCCCCAAGCACGGACACGGACGCGCGCACGCACATGGATACACACGCGCGCTTACGCGTACATGCGTGGGCGCGCAGGCACATGCGTCACCCCAAGCACGGACACGGACGCGCGCGCGCACATGGATACACACACACGCTCACACGTACATGCGTGGGCGCGCAGGCGCATGCGTCACCCCCAAGCACGGACACGGACGTGCGCGTGCACATGGATACACACGCGCGCTCACACGTACATGCGTGGGCGCGCAGGCGAATGCGTCGCCCCCAAGCACGGACACGGACGCGCGCGCGCACATGGATACACACATGCGTGCACACGTACATGCGTGGGCGCGCAGGCGCATGTGTCACCCCCA